CATACTGCGTGTTGCAGGCCCTTGGTGGCCCAACACCAGCGCCGGAGCGGATGGGCTGGGTCTCATCCGTGATATACTGACAGCATTAATAAATGTTCAATTTATGAGAATAATACAGACTAATTTGGTACAGATTATGTTTTGTTTTATGTTTCCATTTATCCGGGTTTTAGAAATCAACTCTGTTTTTTTCTCAGAAATAAATACTTTTTTAGAATTTTTTTTTCTAGAAACCTCAATATACATATTATGTCAACAGTTGAGCACATCAATATCTACCTAATTTACAATATCTCAATATAACTTGGATCTAATAGTTTCTAGATCCTCAGGCCCTACTTAAGACGTTGCTGAAATACTTGTTCTTGTAGTGTTTGAGCTTCTTCATATCTGCCTAGTTGATGATATGTCACTGCAAGATTACCCCTGGCTGTAATGGTCTCTGGATGTTCAGGCCCCAAAATTCTGATACGTTGTTCAAGAACTTGTTCTTGTAACACTTGAGCCTCAGTAGGTTGACCTAAGTCTTGATATATTACTGCCAGATCATTTCTGGCCCTTATAGTATCTGGATGCTCAGAGCCCAGAATTCTAATATACTGTTCAACAACCTCTTGTCCTAATTGTTGAGCATCTTCATTTCTGCCTAGTTGAGAATATGTCCAGGAAAGATTGCTCTTGGACCCAATTGTATCAGGATGTTCAGGTCCTAGAACTCTGAGACGCTGTTGAAAAACTTGTTCTTGTAGTACTTGAGCTTCACTATATCTACCTAGTTCACGATATGACATTGCAAGGTTCCCTCTGGCTATAATTGTCTCTGGATGTTCAGACCCTAGAATTGTTGTACGATAAGTTAAAATTTGTTCTTGTAACATTTGAGCTTCTGTATATTTGCCCACATGTTGATATATTACTGCAAGATCATTTTGGGCTACAATAGTATCTGGATGTTCTGGCCCCAAGATTTTGATGCGCTGCTGAATAACTTCTTGTTCTAGATATTGAGCATCATTATATCTGCCTAGTTGATAATATGTCCATGCAAGATGGCATTTGGCCCCAATAGTATCTGGATGATCATGCCCTAGAATCATAAGACGCTGTTTAAAAGCCTCTTCTTGTAAGTGTTGAGCTTCTTTATATCTTCCTAATTGACCATAGGTCCATGCAAGATTGCCCTTGGCCACAATAGTCTCTAAATGTACTGGCCCTAGAATTCTTTTACGCTGCTCAAGAATTGCTTCTTGTAGGACTTGGGCTTCAGAGTATTTACCCTGTTGTTGGTAAGTCACTGCAAGATCATTCTGAGCTATCATAGTCTGTATATGGCCTGGCCCTAGAATTCTGATACGCTGCTGAAGAACCTCCTCTGCTAGCTGCTGAGCATCTTCATATCTCCCTAGTTCATGATATGTCCATGCAAGATTGGTTTTAGCCTCAATACTTTTCAGATCTTCAGGCCCCAATAATCTGACACACTCAGAAAGAACCTGTTCACCTAGTTTTTTGGCCTCTGTATATTTGCCACACTGATTCCATACTCTTATCAACTTCATTTGGGCAGTTATTGTAGCTAAATCCTGCATTCCATTGCATTTTTCTAATCTTTCGACAATCAGCTTTCCAAAAACCTCTGCCTCAGCAAAGTATCCTGCCTCAACATATGTTTTTTGAAATGATGACTGAAAAATACTAGGTGTCTGGGTTGGGTCCCAAATAACCTTCCGCAGATGCTGTGCAAGCACTATATAGTCTTGAATTCCTGAGACACCTGTAGCTGACATTCCTAAAAGGTTTATCACTATAGTCCTATAACTCTCCAGCTCAGAGAGTGATAATCTTGTCCATTCATGAACCAGAGGGTGAATATAGTATCCATCTTCCCTATAATTTATCAATGAGTAGGCCTGAATATATCTCATTGTTCTTTCAAACAATAGTTCATCCCACTCTTCATCCTCATCTAAAAAGTGTGACAAAAAATCTATTGCCTTGGATAGTGACTCTGGGGTCTTTGTTGGCTTTTCCAAATCCTCCCAATTTGATTTATCCCATTTGTATTCAGAGGCTTTCTTGAATATAGACTCTGTGATTTGACTATTGTGCATCAGAGAGCATGCCTGCAAAGTCTCTTGTGCAATGAAAGGCAAACTATCAAAGCTGACTTTCCATGTAGTATACACTGTGGCCTCATAGTCCCAAGCTATCTGCTTAGGTCTTTCATTCCAATATTTCTGTTTGTTTTTTCTATATAGCTCAAGATACTTGGATGGATTCTGTTGCAACTTTGAGGACTGTGAAATGAAGGCAGCTGCTTGTGCAAGTGCTAAAGGAAAGCAGTTGAGTTCCTGAAAATCTATGAATATAGATAATTCATTATGAATATGTCCTCACCTGTGCTAATTCCTCTGCTATTACTCTATCACTAATGTGAGAAATATCACAGATAATGTCAACTGCTTCATCTAGGGGCAAATTGATAATTTCTATAGTTTTTTGTCCTGTATGCACACTAAGCTCTGGATTGCGGGATGTGATAAGAATGTTGCCATGGTTGCAGGAAGGAAAGTACTTTCTGAGGTTGAGCTCTACATTGTCAGCATTATCAAATAGGATAAGCCATTCATCAGTGTTTCCTATAAGCCATGTGTGTGCATCTGCACTTGAAAGTTCTTGATTCTTAATCCTAGCAATTTCCCTGTATCCCATTTCAATAGTGCTCTCATTGCTAGCATCTATCTTAAATTGGTCTGTGAACCTGTAAATCGAGAATATCAATATATATTCCAGTCAGAAACTAAGCACTTTTGCCTTGAGCCTGAATCAGCAATAAACTTGAGTGCAGTCTGTGTTTTTCCTATTCCACCTAGACCATGTAGTAAAACTCTTTTCTGACTTGCTTGACTTGTTTCCCCGAAAAACTCTGTCAATTTGATGAGGACATCTGCACGTCCTGTAAAAGTCTCTGAAGGAGGAGGGCAGCCATTATGTGGTTCTGTTGAAACTTAGATAGCAAAACAGTGGTGCTCTTCAATCTGCTCACTCATTGGACCCAGGCTCCTATTACAGCTGTCAGTCCAGATTGTGCAGCTATGAGCTAGCTTACCTTGCAACTGATTGGTAGTAGGTATTGAAACTGCCAGAGATCACTGGCCCTCCTCCAACTCCCCCATGACCACCTATGTTTCCACTATCTCCACCTCCTCCCCCATGGCCACCTGTAATTAGTGGGTTTGAAGAATTGTGTGTATATTATTATGTCCATACCGCTTATATGTATGCCTGCCATTGCATGTGTTACAGAGTCCATTGCCGCAGAGTCGAGCAGTGGGAACTGGGAGCGATAGTAGTGCTGGTTCACAGCTAAGGCGTGCTGCCTCGTGCCCTCCGAGTGATGTGCACTGCTGCCCATCACCCATCCCGGACTATCCGCTGTTTTGTGAATATGATGATATCACCCATCGGAAGATCCGACCTTCTTACCTCGGAAAGCCGGAATCAAACAGCTCATCCACTTAGACCGGGAATTGGTAACTCGATATTGCGAGGGTATCGGGAAATGAAGGGCCCGTACAACATCTCGTCTTCAGCTCAAAACTATTTAACTGAGCAAACAATCGCAATCCCTCCTCCACCTCGATCAACATGTCCACTTTTCTCATTACCACTGCGACTGGCCGCCAAGGCGCTTCCACCGCGAAAATCCTTATCGCTAGTGGTGCCAACGTCAACGCCCTAGTCCGCGATCCTACTTCTCCTCAATCGAAAGTGCTCGAAAAGCTGGGTGCCCGTCTGTTCAAAGGCGACCTGAAGGATGCAGCCGCAGTCGAAGCAGCAATTAAAGGCGTCACCGGCGTGTTTCTGAACACATTCCCCGATCCATTCAACCCGTTGGGCGAGCTTCCCCAGGCCGAACTCGTAATTTCTGCTGCTCGCGCAGCTGGCACTGTCAAATCTATCGTCGTTTCGACCGTAGTTGGCGTTGACTTCTATCCAGATTGGAGCGCTCTCGGCGAAGACTTCGTATTTCTGCCTCGTTACTTCGGAAGTAAAGCCTCAGTCGAGCAAGCCGTCCGCCAGTCGGGCTTCAAGTACACCATCCTTCGCCCAGGCATGTTGTACCACAACTTCATTGGCGAACAGACCAACTACCACTATCTGGAGTACCGCTCCGACCGCATCTTGACGATCAGCTACCCGAAAGGCTTCCGACTGGCTCAACTAGATGGGGCGGATGTCGGAAAAGTGGCAGCCAAAGCATTACTTGAGCCAAAACTCTTGGCGGGTCGCGAGATTGATTTGCAGCACGAGCCGTTGTCGTATGAGGAGATGGCGGAGATCTTGTCGAAAGCTATCGGTACGGACATCAAGGTCAAGTATCGCACAGACGAAGAGACGAGTCAGGCAAAGCGGAAGATGCCCGCAGTGGAAGCCCAACTCTGGTGGTCGAATGTTAACAGCAAGGGAGACCCCTCAGAGCTGGAGAAGCTGGGAATCCATTTGACGACATTCAAAGAGTTCGTTGAAAGAGAAAAGACGGCGCTTGCGGAGACATTGGGGTTGTAGTAGCGATTATGACAATGTTACAACAGCGGTCAAGTACTAAGTTGGCGTGCGAGTTGGTGAGATCAATAACGCGTAGGGCAGGTGAAGAGAGTAAGATGTGGTTGACGACAACCTGGCGTTTCCTGATCGCGTTACTGATTTACTGGTCGTAGAATGATCACGCAAGAAACATCGAGGATGCGATTGGAAGTATAAAAAGCCAGGTTCGCCCATGTCCAACAACAGTCCAGTCGCCCTGCGCGGTGATTTGTCTTGAATATTTTTGTCTCGATCAAGTGGAACAAGACATCCGCGAATCATCGCATCCGACCGATACCCGTTCCGCGATCACATTCGGTTTGTTTGAGACGAAAAGTATAAAGGCCTAGCAAGCTCTATGGTAAAATCATGGGGGCCCCCGAGAAACGACTAACCTTCTACAGGTTTTGTCATTATTTTCGTCGCGAGGGACCGGCCGCGGCACAACCTCGGGGACTGGGCCTTTGCTTTAACCGTGGGTTAGGAAATTCCGACTCCGGGTCTAGCGTCGAGCCCTCGTCCAACCGGCTCGCAGACTCCCATTCGTCGGTGTCTAGTCCCAGTATCGCGTGTAGAACCGGCTGCCGCGAGAACCAGAATAGCCCGACCAGTGGTGGGTGGCGATACTGCCCGAGCGACAAGAACGTAGGCCATTGCAAGTTGGCAGCGTTGGGTTGTGGCTTCTGTTCTCTTTTCAGGTACGCGACAACGGTCAGATTTCGGGACGGACCGGCCAACACCCATGAGCTCGATACTCGCAGTCTATGCTTTGGCGGCGTGGATGCGTCACTCATTGCAAGCGGATGGGTACTCGGGCCATGGTCAATGTTGGGGACTGGGTCCTTGCTTTAACCGTGGGTTAGGAAATTCCGATTCCGGGTATAGCGCTGAGCCCTCGTCCAACCGGCTCGTCAATCTCCACCCGTTCACGATCCTGACCGAGTATCCTGTGTAGCCGGCTGCCTGGAGAAAAGCTTGGTTGTGCGGGTGGTTGGTTGGCGAAATTGCCTACCGGAGTCTGAGCGACACCGTCTGGTCGTTTGCAAGTCGTGTATGTCCCCTTTCATTTCGATGTTCGTTTTGTTCTGACTTGTTTTATCCGCAGACCGGGCCAGGAGGTGATTCTTGCCGTCGGGAATGTCCCCTGGGGGCCTCACGGTCGCTCGGGGCACACGGCGGACCCGGCGTTCTCGAGTACTCCAGTACACAGCGAGTTGGCACTCCCCTCTGGTAAGCTTCATCGTTCTCGTCCTTTCAACTGCTGACGATTTGAGTCTAGTTAGCCGCGGACAATGTGAGCCGTCGTTGCTGTTCCCGAGGAAGGGTTACCAACCCTCGTGCACCCTTGTCGTGGGCCTTGGGCTCAAGACCTTCGGGTCGACCAATCGCACGTTAATTGGCTTTAGGACTTCGATGAATCTATTTGTTCCAACGATTTATAAACTAAGAACTTTTGAGTTGATGTCATGAGCGAACAGAAGAGCAATAGACTCACCAGTTGACCACAGTGAGGAAGCTATCCTCCTTCAGTGCACAGCGAAGTGGTCCTTTCTCTTGATGCATTGTTGGTTGTGGTATGATCAGTGCCCTCGTCGTAAGTGAGTTTTATGAGTTGGGTAAAGGCGTGCGGGAAGTTTCTGGCGAAATATGAGTTAGCAAGTAGCACAGGAAAAGCGACCAATTACCTGTATATGAATGCAATTCATAGATTCGCTCGTTCTCGTTTGAAGTCGTTTCCCAGTGGGTGAAAGAGAATGAATACCTGCTTTCGATGTGCGATAGACCTTGAAGGCTCAACGAGCGGCTATGGGGGCGGAGCACCATTCGCGCAAGTGGGACAAAAACTTGAACGCGTCGGTTGGGGTCGAGGTGGATTCAAGTTGAGATACATAGAAACTACTGTGACATTCAGCTTTGTTGACGACGTAATTCATGGTCCACTGTATTGTTATTACATAAAATGCTTGAGCGGTGCAGAGACAAGACGCACTAGAACTCAAGCGGCCGGGTTAACATGAGTTGTGTTGGGTGGTCACTGCCAACTGATTGCGCCTCACTTGAGATCACTGCCGTAGTTTCTCCAAACGACCAAAGTATGTTTCGTTTCCAGCCCTCGCCTTGCCTTCATTTTCTCTCGCTACCGACGCGTTGCTCCTCCTGAATTGAAATCTGTCGTGATCCACTCCTGTTGTACAACTCTGACTCCTTCCCGTGGTGCCATTCTGACTCCATCCCCAGCCTTCATAACAGCCCCCCAACTTTCGACGATCTCTATGTCGACCTCTGCCGCTGCCCGCCCCATTGTCCCCGAAGACTCTGCACTCGTCGCCAGACTCCACGAAATATCGGCGAAAAAACCCAAGCTTATCAAATCGTCGCTCTACGATGCACCAGCGGACCCCCAAATTAAAGTGCGGAGCTGGAAGATGGACGAGTTCCGGTACTACGATGTCCCTTCCCCGTTTCCGACACTTGCACGCGGCATCTTCACGGTCGAGCTGCCGAAGGAGAAGGCGTATCGCATTGTAGCACGAGGCTATGACAAGTTCTTCAATATCGGCGAGGTCCCATGGACTACAGTGAGTCTTCACAGGTATCTACCGGGAATATAACTCATTCTCCCAAGTGGGATGCGCTAGAAGCGCACACTGCTGGGCCCTATACACTTTCGCTCAAATCGAATGGCTGCATAATTTTCATTGCAGCGCTCACGCCTGAGAAGCTACTCATCACCTCAAAACATTCGATTGGACCACTCGCCGGCCAAGATCTCAGCCACGCAGAAGTAGGCGAACAGTGGATACATCGATACCTCAAACAAAAGGGCAAAACCGAAGCCGATCTTGCGGGGAAGCTATGGGAGAATAATTGGACAGCCATCGCAGAGGTATGTTCAAGGCCACCACTTTATGCTTCATTTTTTTTTGACGTGTGCCAGCTTTGTGACGACTCATTCGAAGAGCATGTCCTCGCATACCCGCCTGACAAAACTGGGCTGCATCTTCATGGTCTCAACATCACGACGAAAGACTTTTGCACGCTTCCGCAAGAAACTGTTGATGAGTTTGCGGCTGAATGGGGATTCATCCGGACAGCCTCCATCGAGCTCCTATCTATCGCTGAAGTCCGCAAGTTCACAGACGAGGTTGGGAAAACGGGTGCTTGGAACGGCGAGGCAATCGAGGGTTTTGTCGTCCGAACACATATTGCCAGCACTCCCGGAAAGGCACCATATGCGCCGGGCTCGACCTTTTTCTTCAAGGTCAAATATGACGAGCCGTATTTGATGTACCGCGATTGGCGTGAAATAACCAAGGCTCTCCTCCGACATCACGAAGACGCGAAGAAGGGAAAAGGTATCGGGATGTCCGAAAATGCATTGCCCAAGGGCAGGATGCGGAGGCCCGAAACAAAAGTCTATGTCCGGTGGGCCATTGCTGATATTTCGAGAAACTTCGCACCATGGGCAGAGTACACGAAGAGCAAGGGGATTGTGGCGACCCGAGAGCGGTTCTTAACTTGGTTCAAGTCACCTGAAGGTGTTGCGTTACTCGAAGCTGCAAAAGCAAACAATCTGCCTCCTGCTGCTCCCATTATACGGCAAGATGTCCAAGCGCCGTTCGGAAAGACAATCATTGTGCCCGTCGCCATTCCTGGTTGTGGTGCGTTTATTTTTTTTCTGGACTTTTGTCATTATTGAGAAAAATGCAGGCAAAACGGCTGTTTCCGTCGCGCTGGCTCATATCTTTGGTTTCGGACACACCCAAAGCGATGACGTCAAAGCAAAAAGAGCTGCCCCCATTTTCATCAAAAATGTGACCAACCTCCTCAAAACACACGACGTGGTTATTGCCGACAAGAACAACCATCTGAAGCAACATCGAGCAGCCCTCCGCTTCACAGGTTACAATCCGCGCATCCGGCTCCTTGCTCTCAACTGGTCGCTCGAAAACACCACACATGCGGATGTCCATCGCCTGTGTGGGTCCCGTATCGCCGCGCGAGGAGCAAACCATCAGTCTCTGCGGCCGAGCGAAGACATGGGGCACGAAAAGGTGATCTGGATGTTCATCAATCAAACTGAGCCGCTCGTCCCTGACGAGGTCGACGACATTGTGGACATGTCGCTTGAGGATGACTTCGAGAGCGCTGTCCAAAGGGCTGTCAGCGGAGTTGTGCGTGTTCTGGGGCTTCCGGTGCCTGATGCCGATAAGATTGCTGAAGGCGTTGCGAAAGCACGTGGATATAGTGTTGGTGGAGGGGCAACAACAGCAAAAGACAAGGGGAAGGAGAAGGAGAAGAACCCACAGCCACCGGCGCAAACCAAGGACCAGCTGGCTCAAAAGAAGGGCAAGCCACCAAGATATTACGGCTTACTGCCCGAGGTCGACTTGACTGGGCTTCTGGCAGGTGCCGTGGAGAAGGAGCCTTCTGCTGCCGCCTTTTACGGTCATTTGGTGAAAGAAAAACGCGTCGCGACGCGTCCACATGTCACTCTTGTCCATTCGAAAGCACTGCAAGAACCCGGCGCCAAAGAGCTCTGGGAGCGCTGTGCTGCTCTCAACCCTTCACCCGCTTTTACCTGCAAGCTTGGACATCTTGTGTGGAATGACCGCGTTATGGTTGTAACGGTGGACGACGTGATGGTTGAGAAGGAGGCGTCGACGGGCCAAGTTGGTGCAGAATTCGTGACTAGATTGCCGCAGGAGGTGCGGGACCGGCTGCATGTGACGGTGGGCACACGGACTTCAAGCATTATGCCTGTTGAAGGCAAGGCACTGGTGGAGGCATGGAGAGCGGGGAAGACAAATGGGGTCAAGTCGATCGCACTGGAAGGTGTAAGCGCAAAAGCCAAAATAATGGGTTTGTACAGTTAATCTATTAATCAAGAGACTTCGGTGTCACTTTTGCAATCGTCAGCCAATGAGAACGCGTCAACCAAAAGTTAATTCTCCTCCCTTCTGCCCGATGCTACGCGTCCTCGCTGCGGCCCATGGCTCATGAGTACTGGACCACTTGACTTTCAGACGCCAACTCATTCGACTTCCGACCCCACCAACAACACAAGCGGGAACACAAATCTCAGATGCGTCAAATGCTCGATTGGCCAACGACAACGATGGGAACGACAGTGTCGTGAACGAGAGGAACAGGAGACTGCTCAGCAGCACAAACTGGTGTGGAACCCTGCCATCCCAATAGCAGGAAGACCAGGGGCGCGGTTTTTCTGACTACTAACAGTCCTGGGAAGCACAGCGAATGTGGTGATAACGATGACTCATCTTCCACTGACCCTTTGTCCCCAAGTCCCATTTGCTAATCAACAGTCTCTGGGTTCAGAACAAAAAACCAAGTACCTAATAAAACTAGTCAATCTACTTACCTATCTCTGAATCAATTGCTCCTTCACTCTGACCATCATCCATTTGACCCCGCTAGTCAGTAATGGAAAGAGAACGAGATTAGACCCTCTCAGCGACGATTACAACCAAAAACATTAAATAGCCACCTGGTATGAGATAAGTAATGTAAAGAATGGACATCCGAGGCCTCTACGCATCCTCATCTTCGGCCTCCTCCACCTTAGCAGCACGACTGTGTGGCCTGGAAGCGCCCGAGTCCTCAATTTCTTCAATGTAGGCTCCACCATCGTTGTTTTCAGGCTCGGCTTTTGATTTGTCGCCCTTCTTCTTCTTGGACTTTTTCTTTGGGAGGTCCCACTCATACAAGGGAATGAATGACTCCACCTGGAAGTGCGAGTGAGGGGAAAGTCAGGCAAAAGAAAGGGAGAACGCACGAATCCGACATCTGCAAACAGCTTTGGGAATATCCAGATTCCGGGGCTGGCGACGATGACGGTGATGATGTAGAAAATCAGGCGGACGATGGCAATGGCGAAGAAGAGACCGATGAGACCGAGCATGCCCATGCTGAGGTAGTATACGCCTTGACGCATGATGGGTGGCCATAGCGGGAACATGACGCCAGCGAGCATGACACCGACCATGAGGATGGCACCAGCGTAGGTCGTCCACTGCGAGCCCTCAAAGAACCACACATAGTACTCGTCCCCGACAAACTTCTGCTCTGGAATGACTTGTAACACTTTTGGCGACGAAGAAGAGCTGCCGGAAGGGCCACCACGTTGCACCCGCAGGAAAAAAGCGAAGGAATTGACGGCAGCAAGTGTCGTTAAGGCCTCTGCTTCAGTCGTGATCTTGGGGACACCTTTGAGCTTCGCGTATGCAGGGGAGAGTAAGGCTTTGATTGCGGATTTGCCTGCACAAGGTATAAATATCTGCGCTGACACAAAGAAAAAGACAGACACACCTTTGAAGTAGTCGAATCGTTTACCATTGAGTGCCCCGACACGGACTTTGATACCAGCCTTGCCGCTGCGTAGAAAGACGGCCACCTTTCGAATGTCTGGGGGCGCTTTGGCTTGTTGCTCCATCTCGGCTCACTGGGCGGAAAGATGTGGAAAGTGAATGAGCTGGCTAGATTACATAAGCCTCATGATTTTCTTTCAAGCGTGCTGACAAACGCTATCTAATCGCTTCGATTTTGATTCTTCTACGACTGCGTCAAGTACTTACACCATATATCGTGACAAAACAAATAAATTAACCTTCTGTAACCTTCCTCAAAAAAAATGATCCAACTCGACCTCGCGTACAGCGTCTTCGCACCCAAGCCATTCGAGCCACTCTCGAACGGCGCCAGCACTCTTTGCTGGTGAAGGAATGACATCTGTGATGCTTCCTCCTTCCATGCTCCGCACAGCTTGCCAATGGGACGTTCCTAGCCTCACAACTTGCACCATTGGAAAGCCACGCTCAACAATAACACGAGGAGTGCGGGACGCAAAGTCTGGAAGGCCAACGTAGCGCAAGGTCGATGGGACACCAGCTCGGAGTTGCTATAGCCAGGTAAGATCAACGTCAAATAAAACGGAAAAAAAAGACGAACGTCCAAAAATGGCATTGGATCACGAGGGGCCGAGACGTAATCCAAGGTAAATGAGCGGACACTCCTTGGAACGAGCCATGCAGCCAGACTGGCTGCAAGATCACGTGGATAGGATATAGTGAGTGCGCGGAGGCGGCCTAGTGAGGGGAGGATGCCCCAGACGGCGGCATCGAATCCACAGGTCCGTTGGTCGGCCTCTTCTCTGACCACAAGCACAAGAGATTTGAGCTCGGTCCGTTCACGCAAGAAAGCAGCGACGGCGGGGAATAGATCGGTACTGCCACCACGACGAGTCGCCCCACAGACAGTGAGTCCAAAATGTCGAAGGAAAGGAAGAGAGTCTGGGTTGGCCCTGAATTGTGCCGCGGGGAGACATTCGAGTGTGCATGTGAGATTCAGAGAGTCGAGTTGTCGACCATGCATAAGTATATCGGCAAAGGCAGGACTATTGGCAGGGAAATGTCCAGAGAAACTGATGCTGGTAAGGTTGCGGAGCGACAGAGCGTCTGAAGGGAATATCCACGACATGTTATGCAACGAGACAGTTCGGAGAGATCTATTTTGGGCAATGAAACCGGTTGTCGTGGATGGATTGCCTTCGCGTGTCGAGTAAGATAGATGGTGAAGGGTTTTGTATTCAAATGCCGACAAATCAACCGGCGCATCTGGACATCTAAAAGAGTGTTATGCACTTCCAAAAAAAGAAATGTCGTACATAAGGGCGAGGCCGCGAAGACGGACTGATGAGTGCTGAAAAAGACGCAGCAGCGGCATGGTGTTTTCTGATAACGCTGAGATGTATACATTCCGAAGATTGACGAGCTTGTGAAGGGCATTGGCTAGCATCCCTGAAAGAAGAGCATAAGCACCATGGTTGTGAGAGAACTTCTCGGGAGCCGACCTATTTGGAAAGCCATGGAATCGTCTTTCCCAACTGCATACGAGTAGACTCGCAGTGTCCTCACAAAACCGCCGAAGGAAGGGTCCACTATAACGCGTGAAAGGATGTCCGCTGTCCGCCTTGCATAGCTTGGAATAATGCCCGGGTTTGTGATGGTATCCTCGTCGGGAGGAACGGAAAGATGCAGGTCGAGTTTTCGGAACAACAGTTGGCCCGCGACTCGAGAAAGAGCGTTAGGAACAAATAAAAGCGTTTTAAGGTCTTTTCTGGGAAGCCACAAGGCAATTTCTCGCCATATCTCGTCTGAGAAGCGACCCTTGCTGCTTGGGAGTACGGGGGAAAGAAGCTGAATGACTATGAGATTGTCGTCAAGATGGGCATGGGTGCAATTGCCTTTTCCACGGAGACAGAGCGGTTATGGAGCAATGCTTTTGCCTCAGGATTGTCGGGCTCTGCTACTAATGCAGCTTGGAGGTCTATCACGAGTCGACAGCCGTTTCATAAATGAGAGCTTGAACATACCTTCCTGTGCAGCAACTTGATATCCTGCTGAAATCCGCCTTTTTGCTCGTAAAATGCGCGCACGGGCAGTGTTATGGGCAGACAGTGAAGTCACTTGCAGCACTGAGTGGATTGCATTCTCGAATACGGAACGGGAGCCCCTAGTTAGATTGAGGGAGGAAGAAGGACTAAACACGAAGTAACGGACGTGTCTTGAGGAAGATTGCCCAATGCGTAGAGCAACAAGTCGGCCTTTTGGTTGTCAGACAAGCAAAGAGCAACGTCGCGAATGCTGGCGTCGAGAATCTTCGGATTGAAGATATTCATGGTGAGGGAAGGACAGCAACTTGTGAACCGGAAGGGTACTCACTTGAGTTTAAAATCTAAGTTGTTGTCGTGGGGGGAACGGGGATCAATTCAGTGCCATCACAAATTCTGGACATGGACTCTGGTCTGGGCCTTGACACGGCGCGCGCGATCGTGGAAAATGAAAGAGTGGGCGCATCGGCGGTTGGAACGTGTTTTTTCCGTAAGGCACGGTCAATATCGGGATTGTCATTCCGTTCGGTCCGCCATCATTCCGCCGGTCATTGAGGCACGTGTAACGGTGTCGAGTCATTTTGTGACACAGCCTTTTTGTCTTTGCACCACCACCTTTGGCCGAGTCAGCGCTCTGCCGTAGCCCAGTAGCTTGTCTCTGAGGCATCCGTGAGTCATGTTCCCTTAACCTCGCCGTTTTTGTTCGCGGCCTATCCTCTTTTTTATATGGCAGCGTCACCAAATGCCATCGTTGTCTGCACAGTCCTCTGGCGCACGATACCAGCAATCGATTTTGGTCGACCTCCCCCCATAATGACCGCGATCACTTGATCAAGCACTCACTCACAACTCAACATTCAGATCTTGCTGTCGAAGTTGCTCTTACTCCGTCCCTCGCCATTTCCAACACATCGTACCACAACTCTACATCTACCCAGCGTCAAGATGTTCGCTCAGTGCTGAACTCTGCTGCCTCTTCCGTCTTGTCCACGGCTCCTCGCTCCTATGGCCACCTAAGCGCACCCCTTGAAAGTCATCTTTCAAGTCTCCCTCATAACTATGTGCCAATAGACACAGATAAATCCCGTCCTCGGACAACTCCTGTTTTTGCCACTCGTGAAGATTTAGCAGCCCATTATGGCATCCCTCAACATTTCCCCCCTGCACCTCGACCAATTGTCCATCACACACAACAGCTCCCAAAACAACAGCCCTCTTCCCATTTCGACTTTGACACCATTCGGAAAAACTATATCGCCATGCTCCAACAAAAGCCAACTGACCCCGAACCCACCGTCTCGGATCCCCAACCCGGGCCTGCCGGTGCGGACGCTATACAAGCTCTCAATGAGCTGTTAGGCAAGTATTCGGTCTGTGTACAGCGCTGCTTTTCTAATGTGATCTGCAGCGTCCCCGGAGTTTCAAAACTACGACAGCTTCGATGTCACTTCTCCATTGTTCGAAGACTCCGCCTCACCTTCGGTGTCTCCGTTATTTGAAGACAATGGTTCATTCGACTCATATCTCACATCACCGATGGAGACCCCGTATGAAGAATTTGCAACTTCACCAATGGAGGATAGTCCATTTTCTGATTTCCTCAAAACGCCCATTCTTCCTTCCGCCGACGCGGACCTTTTGACCGGGCCCCTCATAGAAGATGTTGGGTATGGAGATGACTTCTCCCTGTTTGGCGGTGTTTCCGCCTTCCCAACGTTCGAAGTCACCACTAATCCCAAGCTGCCACCGACTCCAGAACTGTACACCTTGTCGTCACCTGGCTCCGACTCGATAGATCCTTCCTCCACCGTTTTCGCATCCAACCCCAAAGCTCCTCCAGTTGCCCCTGCAGCTCCAACACCGCCACCTGCTTCCGTAACCACCACCACAACTCGTGTTCGGAAGTCGAAAGCGACGGGGACTCGTAAAAATCTCAAGCCAGAGTCACTCCTTCCGATGGATGCACCCACTCAATCAAGGTCGTATGCCCTTCCATCGGCAACTTCGCGCAAGGCTGTTCCTGCAGTCTTTGCCCAAAAGAAAAGGCTCCATTCTGCTGCCTTCGCCACTAACGACGATGACGACGAGGAGGAGCTTGAGCCTCTGTTGCCAACTGCGACAGAGAAGGAACAAATCGAACACAAGCGACGACAAAACACGCTCGCTGCACGTAAAAGTCGGAAGCGTAAACTCGAGCATCAGCGGATGCTTGAAGGAGAGATCACTGATCTCAACGCGGACCGAGACCTTTGGAAGTCAAGGGCGCTCAAGGCACAAGACGTTCTCCGCGCCAATGGCATCACACTCAACTGGGACGATGAGTGATCGGCCTTTCACTCGTTTTCGCTCTTGGTTTTGCTATCGATAACTCTTATTCTCTATTCCTCCTCGGTGCTCGTGTACTACTACTCACTTTAGCCCCATCACTACTTCCCTAACCACTTGCTTGAGCATCCGTCCCCACCCTTCACCTGTTCATTCCATACATTAGTCAACTCATCTATACCTGGGACACTTACCACAGCATCATGGTAACTACGTACGCATGTATGCCGGACCATTTGGTCTCCTCAGATTCCGAATACAGTATTCTTTTTTTGTCTAAGTCATGTGATCGTGTTTGATCGTCGATTATCGATATTCTCACGCCGCGTTCTCGATGGCGAACACCCACCTGGTCTTTCACCACTTCACTCCGCTCCCATTAACCTCCAATGGCAAGCGCGGTGTTTCTAATCACAGGCTGCTCGAGCGGTTTCGGATATGAAATGGCGAAAGGTAAAGAAGCACCTTGTCCATGTCGATGCTCCGTCTAACAGTGCTACGAAGCGGCGCTCCGGCGTGGGTTCAAAGTGATAGCAACTGCAAGACGTATCGAGACGCTGAAACCGCTGGAAGAGCTAGGTGCAATCGCGCTTCCGCTTGATGTTGCTGCCCCTCCGGCTACCCTGGTCAGCTTTGCAAAACAGGCATGGGAAGTCTAGTGCGTCCTGTCCCGTTCCGACCCGTACAACCATTCAGATAGCAAAATAGTGGGCAAGTTGACTACCTCGTCAACAACGCCGGCTATGTCCAGGGCGGCGCTATCGAAGAGAACACCCCAGAAGAGACACTATCGCAGTTCAACACAAACGTTTTCGGTGTCCTGAACCTCACCAACGCGTTCCTGCCTTATATGCGTGAACGGCGCTCTGGGACCATCGTTAACATCAGCTCGCAAGGCGGCTCGCTGAACCTGGTTGGGGCGGGGATCTATTGCGCGTCCAAGGCCGCTATCGATTCATTTTCTGACACTTGGAGCAGAGAGTTAGCAGAGTTCAATGTGAAGTGCATTTCTATCCAGGTAAACCATGTGCTTCCATGGTGTTAGACATGCACTGACCAACTGAATACTAGCCAGGAGCCTTCCGCACACCGGTATCCAACTCGTCGAACTTCAGACGAGGCTCCAACGTCATCGCAACATATGCGGCCGCTACCGAGGGAATCGTCGGCTTCAACAGCGGCACAGGAAAAGAGCGGGGGGACCCAGCGAAAGGCGCTCTGCGAATCGTCGATTTCGTCACACAGGCCAAAGGGAAACTGCCGCTGCGATGGGCACTGGGGGAGGATAGCTTCGTGAATCTGCGAAAGGTCCACGAAAGCCGGATCGTCGAGATGGATGAGTTCAAGGAATGGAGTGTGGGAACAGACTACGATGATTATGTGCCCAACACAAGCGTTGGAACGGGGGCATGGTCCATTTAACGAGCAGTAAGTTCTTTGCTAGGCTAATGTCGGTGGACTAACAAAAACACTGAAGTGCTTGTACATTTCCGAAACACTCAAACATTCACGTTCTGACGAGCATCAACCTATCACCTCCGACTCATCTGCATTGAGCGCAAGTAACACATAGAATCGAACCGCCTCGACAAGGTCGCTCGCGACAATCGCTGAAGTTCATATTAGTCAAGCTGTCTTTTTGGAGATCAAGAGGCCACCCACACTCATTGACACTATGGATTCCCTTCCTCGCCTCCTCCAAGCTCAAACCTCCCGTATTTCCATGATTGTAGCGGAAGATGTTCGGCGAGAGATCCCAATAGTGACGCGTATCTGTCCATCGTATCAAAAAAAAACTGGCTGCAGAGCCAAAAAGAACAATCAGACCAGTGTTTGCGGGCACAATTAGTGGCGAAACCGCGACCGTCTTGTCGTCCTCCCCAGGCGAGTGCCCAAGACGTGAATCGTACGTAGACACAATCGTTCCCGCAAACAAGTCATATGCTGCAGCGGCTGACCCACTCCACGGAGTTATTGGCGCTGGGTCAACTGCATGGCCGAGGTTTCCCAAAGAAATATTTCCTGGAGCCGATCCAGTGGAGATTTCTACGCCAAATGCCGAAAAGGACATATTGAAGTGGTCGGCAAGTGGCTTGATTAGATTAGTGTCGTAAGTGAGAACTTCTGCAACAGAGCTAAACAGATAACAGTAAATATCACTCCGCTCGCAATTTGGCCTATGCCCACCTTTCTGCAAGAATTCGCCGGTTGATGGTCACTGTCGTCAACTCCGGAAGTGTGTTTGCTTTGACCCCACCGCGAATGACGGTAACAGCCGTAGTAGTACTGATCATACCTAGATAGAGGGGAAATTGGGCAAGCATGTCTTCAAGCGCATGCAGCGCCTCGTCAGAAGTGATTGAGTCTTGAATCAAATCTTTAAGTTCAGTGGGGAGGGATGCTGCGTGTTCTGCCAAACACTGTAATGTTTCAAAGGGAACGGACTGCCGACTCTATTGTCGATTGTTAGCGGGTTAAGTCTGTCAATGCTCCAATGATACTGTAGTATTTCAATCAATTAGTCCTGTCACGGTCACATTGACTTTTTTGGCCGAAAATTTTCTGCCTGTCACAGGTCACAGCAAGTTTCTTCGGTCCTAAACCGTCCCAAAATGGTAATTTCTGAAAATTTTCGCGCCTACGGCGCGCAAAACTTCTATATAAGGCAGGAGGTCACACCAAATTCAGCCTTTGGCTGAATTGCACATTTCTGCCACATGTGTCACAGGTCACAGGCCCGCAGAATTGAATGAAATAGTACAGTACTAACCAGTAATGCCGGATTGGGATTGTTTTCAAATTGAACAACGATAGCAGAAAGAACTCCGATACTCTGCGAAATATAAGCTCGACATCACTATGTAAACAGAGGCAGCCAACTCACCGTGTGTGATGGAGGTGCGCTGGAGTGCCCACCAGGAGATGTGACATTGATACCTATGTCGATATGACCCTTTTCGCTTACACCCTGGAGTGCGACCATGGTGTCAAACAAATTGGCCATACCGCCTAGAAAATGCATTGTGATGGATTTTGGACTTGAATCAATTCCATACCGCCTTCGTCGACGATGAGTGCGAAGCCATTGTGGCCATATTCCTGCAGAAACGCCTTCGAAAGATGCTGAGCGCCCTAGAATACGATCCGTCAGCATCTTGTGCTCCTAGTATTTGTGGTTTCTCGCCTGAAATCCACTGATTTCTTCATCGAAGCCAAAGGCAGCTACAATGGTGCGTGACGGAGTAAAATTGGCTTCCAGAAGAACCTCAAGAGCTGTCCTAGAAAATAGATCAGGTGGCGTAGAGGAGCCACAGATTAAAAATGTGTACAAAACCCCGATGAGCCCATTTTTATCATCCGCGGTACCTCAGCCCCAGATTCGATTGCCTACACAATTTGAGATCGTGGTAGGACGATGGAGAATAAGGCAGACCATCGAAGAACCCGGAGAATGGAGGATGAGCCCAATCGTCTTCAGTCAGAAGGTCAACAGGAACAACATCTCAAGAACGCATCAAGGGCACATCGAGAGAGGACATTTTGAAAAACCTTGGTGAGCGGCGAAAAATATGGGTTTAAGCGCTGGATTGGTTCCTTTCCACTCATACCATAGGGCATAAGTATTGACTTTGCGGACGGTCAAGTGAGCATGTCTATGATTGATGAGCCGTATTGGCTGGAAACGTGCAAGAGATGCCACACGTCAGAGGGAACTCGTGTTCTAGATAGGCGTGAAGCTGGTCAAACACCTCCCAACGAGGATCGACGCCAACAGCTTGCATATCGTCAAAAGTTATGGTGCTAGTAGTTGTTAACGTTAGAGAATGTCAAACAATGGCGAAAGAAAGATACACGGGATTCGGATTGCACCTCCAAGGAGTTCTACAACGCGTGTTTTGAAGTTTTCTGCTTCAAATTGGCGCGTAGCGTTGTCCCAGACATCCTTGTTGACGACGGGAGACAACGCCGATGACTGAGGGCAAACATCGGCGTCGACCCGAAGATATTGTTGGCTGGGTTCCGACTCGGAAAAGAGTTCAAAGTCGAAGATACCGGTACCAGGGAGGGTCGCTGTTGGGTGACACCACGTTAGGGGCACAACGAAGAGTGTAGCAATAGCAAGGAGTGAGGGGCTGAGGGTAGGCATTGAAAGCTCTAGGTGAATGTGTATGCTTGGAGGCTTTTAAGGCCGGTTGCAATTCGGTTCCCCAGACTGGCCGCTGAGGAATGCATCGGCATAGGAGCCTTGAGAAGGCTTGTATCGGAATAATGGTGGGCCGTTGAGAGGTTGCATTCTTCAATGTCGAGAGTTGGATATAGACGACCCAGTTTTATGCAAAGAGAAGTCCAAAAATACGTTAGAAATGACAGGGAACATGGCCGTATGCAGGCCAGTCGGTCCCCATCGGCGAAAAAGCACGACCACGTTTTCAACCCGAGAGGAACTCAGGAAGGTGAAGTAGTTGCAAAGCTGGGCATTGTCAGCAGTGTTGTGTGTCACTATCGTGGTCATGCAAACCTTAAGCAGGCTTCGTCAAATACCCCTCCGTAAGCTGGAAGAGCGAGGAAGAATTGGTGAAGAAATGTCAAGAACGATTTCGGCAGGAGAGATGCTTCTCCCGAACGAGATATCGGAGCGTTGAAGGTACTCGCGCTATTGGGGAGCATAAATTGCGATTTGTGAGGCCAGAGATGGTTTGATAGGCGCTGGTTATCGTCTGGTGTGAGCGGATGGAGGGAGAGTAGTGTCAAATCCTGTGTGGGGACCAGGGTCTGGTCTGAATCCAAAGAACATCTCCAATTCAATTTGTCGCGGTCATGCTGGTTGATGGTTGTCGACGCTGGGACAATGGGAGGTGCTCGGACAGTCAAAAGTTTCCTTCCTCGATTGCCCTTTGATGACGAGCCTTGGACGGGTAAAGTTTTGCGGGTGATAAGTTCGTGTTGGTTCTCCGTTGATTAGTAGACACAGTTACGGTCGATACCGTTGAACCGCATGCATAACGATCGATGAGACACACTACAGTGGAACAACGACAGCAACATAGAGGTTAGTAGTAAGTTCGTCATCATGTCTGTTATGTAAGCTAACGAGCTTGCCCAAAAACAATCAACACTGAAGTTACAGTTTCTGTATTAGAGCCTTTCTATCACAATCTAGGAGCGATATTGTAGTCGGTGTCCGCGTCAGACATGATGGTAGTTGTGTCGAGGTACCACTTGTAAATTTCATCCACCCACAGCGGCTTTTGGGAGTCCGTGCCTTCTTCGACGATTACACACGGAAAATCTGAAAATCTGAAAAATGCTGAGTGTAGTATCGTAGTCGACGCGTGAAATCCCCAAGTCGTTGTAATGAGGATTGACTCGGAAAACGTCCGCGTCAACGGAGGTGGCTATATATTTCAGGATAGCTGCAATTGGACGCCACTGGGTTTTGTCGCAGAGTTCGGGATCAGGAATCTTGGACTACATTTCGTAGATTTTATCGAGGGTGGGCTGCACCTCGTTGGTCTGGCGGCGGAATGCAAAGCCGTAGACGAAGTTTGGCAGGGGGTAGCCTTTCATCTGTTGTGAACAAGGATAGTATTCGGTCGGGAGCTCATCGAAGGGCTGGTGCTATCTCATGTACTCCAGTGTTAATTTCTGTGCACTTGATGAGCAAAAGGGTGGAGAGCGCCAAGAGGGAGGTACACGATTATAGGACGGATTCTGAAGCATTGACGTGGAGAAATGACCAGTGGCGTGTGCTGGCTTGAGGGCCCGGGTGTCGCGGCCGTGCTAAAATGCGGGGAGAAAGTGTAAAGGAAAAAAATCGAGCAAGTACAACTCCGGCGCGGAAAGGTCGGTTGGAGTTTAGTGTTGTGGAGTGTAGAACAAGAGAACAGTGGGGAGGCGAAAGGAAGTCGGAGTTGGTGCTACCAGAACGTGAACCAACGAGTTAACAAGTCTTTGAGGCGTATTCCTGCAACTGATATCTCGCAGTCAGACTATACTGCGAAATCGGTCTCTGAGACGGTGAGAATCAAGTGAGAGCGCGACTTATGTAAGCCGACCAGCTTGTCAAATACGTTGAAGTTCAACACTTTTCGCAGTATACTGCTTGGTACCGGCGCTAGTAAGCAACCCATGTGCCGCTACCAGAACATGTGGCTGACCACCAGGCGATACTGTGGTATGAGCCTCTCTATGCTAGATCCCTCTTCAGCGCAATGGCCGCACTCATGGCATCAACCGACCTGAGGAAGGGGAACAACATACCTGTCAGGACGATCCGGACAAGTGGTGGTCGGCTGGTGAGTTTATTGCTCTTCTGTTCGCTCATGACATCAACTCAAAAGTTCTTAGTTTATAAATCGTTGGAACAAATAGATTCATCGAAGTCCTAAAGCCAATTAACGTGCGATTGGTCGACCCGAAGGTCTTGAGCCCAAGGCCCACGACAAGGGTGCACGAGGGCTGGTAACCCTTCCTCGGGAACAGCAACGACGGCTCACATTGTCCGCGGCTAACTAGACTCAAATCGTCAGCAGTTGAAAGGACGAGAACGATGAAGCTTACCAGAGGGGAGTGCCAACTCGCTGTGTACTGGAGTACTCGAGAACGCCGGGTCCGCCGTGTGCCCCGAGCGACCGTGAGGCCCCCAGGGGACATTCCCGACGGCAAGAATCACCTCCTGGCCCGGTCTGCGAATAAAACAAGTCAGAACAAAACGAACATCGAAATGAAAGGGGACATACACGACTTGCAAACGACCAGACGGTGTCGCTCAGACTCCGGTAGGCAATTTCGCCAACCAACCACCCGCACAACCAAGCTTTTCTCCAGGCAGCCGGCTACACAGGATACTCGGTCAGGATCGTGAACGGGTGGAGATTGACGAGCCGGTTGGACGAGGGCTCAGCGCTATACCCGGAATCGGAATTTCCTAACCCACGGTTAAAGCAAGGACCCAGTCCCCAACATTGACCATGGCCCGAGTACCCATCCGCTTGCAATGAGTGACGCATCCACGCCGCCAAAGCATAGACCGCAAGTCCCGAGCTCACGGGTGTTGGCCGGTCCGTCCCGAAATCTGACCGTTGTCGCGTACCTGAAAAGAGAACAGAAACCCAACCCAACGCTGCCAACTTGCAATGGCCTACGTTCTTGTCGCTCGGGCAGTATCGCCACCCACCACTGGTCGGGCTATTCTGGTTCTCGCGGCAGCCGGTTCTACACGCGATACTGGGACTAGACACCGACGAATGGGAGTCTGCGAGCCGGTTGGACGAGGGCTCGACGCTAGACCCGGAGTCGGAATTTCCTAACCCACGGTTAAAGCAAAGGCCCAGTCCCCGAGGTTGTGCCGCGGCCGGTCCCTCGCGACGAAAATAATGACAAAACCTGTAGAAGGTTAGTCGTTTCTCGGGGGCCCCCATGATTTCACCATAGAGCTTACTGGGCCTTTATACTTTTCGTTTTCTCAGACAAACCGCATGTGATCGCGGAACGGGAGTATCAGTTCGGATACATGTACGGCGGGTGCAAGCAAGAGTGAAAGCTTTCTGAGACAGATTTTTCTGCCGAAACTTTGGTCAAGTGAGTCAAAGGCTTTACACACACATGAGCGAGAGGCTGATGTCCTCGTTAGTGGCCTTTTTGAGTTCCATTCAACGAACCTCGGATTGTCTCTCCGAGTCTGCTTGCTTTAATAGTATATACCATCCACTGCGCCAAATTCCTTCACCATCTCCACTCGCTCGCCTGACCTAAACGTTCTTGGGACACTCCAATTGACTACTTTCCGACCGTCAAAACCTCTGCTTCAAGTGGCCTGCCACTCAAACCAACCGCAACAAAGGCTGAAGTATCTGGGCCAATCCCAAGTCACTGCAATCGCCAGCATCCAGTTGAAACAAGTTTACTTACGTTCTTCCACCGACGTCTTCTTCAAGTTCTTTCAAATGTCGTCAAAACGATCTCTGATTTCCCTACTGTAGCTCCACAAGGTTCCTGCTGTTGTTCACATTAGACCATCAATCATAGCCCTAACCAGCCCAATTCACCATCTGCCTTCCTTCCAGTTACCTCGTCCTTCGTCTGGGCGAGCTCGTCGGTCATTTTCATCCTCCAAGCCCTTGATGCACACTTGTTCACCAGGAGGCGACGAAGACACTGCTACCCTACCAATGGTTCATCATCGCTGATTGGGCATTTCCTCGCTCTCCATGTGGTGGTCGTAACTCGTATGTCGCAACTGGCCAAAGCACCCTTCTCAATCCTCAAGCATCGTTTCAACGCCAACAATGGGTCAGGGCGACCATGAAAACCCTCGCCTTCCATAGAATATCATCAACCCTGCAAGCGTTTTTGAGCGCTGCTCCACGAATTCCCTGACTCCCAGTTGTTCGCGTTGCAAGTTCATCTGCCGACTGCAGCCACCTTGTCATCGAATTAATATCCAGCCACCTTAGAGGTAGTACGGTCTTCCAGACAGATATGTTTACTCCGTTCATTATTATTATATGAGCGCGAGTAGAGTATAATCACCGTTTAAACTTAAGAGTCGAAAAGCTCGAGGTTGCAGTGAAGAATGTAGTCTTAGCATGGAGGAGCGATGCTGGATAGTTCTGCCGCGAAAATCAGAACTCTTTGGGCTCATCACCAGATCCTACTTTCGTGTTTGCTAAGAACGGTCGACTACATACATATTTTGAGGTGTTTCGATGCGGAACCGGGAAAGTTTAGATCACGCCGCAACCTGATTGGCACTGGTTACGGTCGCGGCAACGCAACAACTAACCACCACCACAAATTACATCGGGATTCGGCGCCGTGCAACTAAACCTTCAAGTTCATCGTGCTGCATTGCGCCTAGTTCAAGCAGCGAGGACAACCGAACTCGCGATGCGAACTGGTGGATGAGCAACAGTGTGGCTGTTCGCCCCCTGACCTCCTTCAATTTCTTCACAACGTTTGAGCCCATGCCCCGTGGGCCCGTGAGCAACGCATCTGCCAAGATCAAACGATCCGCCTTATAATGAGCGCCGCCAAGCCCTTCATCTCTGGTTGCGTTTCTTCCCCCCGCCAAACCTCTTTCTCTTCTATTTCCTCTTCTTCGTATTCTTTGTGCTGGCACACATTTTGGTTTCATTTTTTCAACAATCTTCTCTTATCCAACGCCCCAATTCAACTCAACCAGCACACAAAATATGTTTTCACGATCTATTTGGAGTCTTGTGTCGTTCGCGACTCTCGCGCTTGCTGCGACGATCCCCAAGAGACGGTGCGTGATGAGCGCGTTTTTTTCTACAGGAATGCACTAATAACTCGACTTAGCGCGACTACCTGCAATGGCAGCCCTGAACTCTGCAACCGTAGCTACGGCAATGTCACCTTCATTGGCTCGCACGATTCCTTTGCTTTCAGCAAGGATAAACTAGCTCGTGCGTTATTTTCAGTGCAACCTTTTACGCTTCTAACGCAACGACAGTTTCTCGCGACCAGACTATCGATATCCCGAGCCAATTGAATCTTGGTGTGAGGGCTTTACAAGCCCAATCACATATGAAGGATGGCGTGCTCCACTTCTGCCATACCAGTGCGTGTTTATTCCTCTATATTTCCCATTCATTCACCGGAAACTGCAGGCTGCATCCTCTTTGACGGTGGCTCGGTCGTCAACTATCTCAAGACAGTCAAGACCTTCCTTGATGCCAACCCTAACGAGGTCCTCACCCTCATCTTCACCAATCCCGAGGGTGTCAGCCCTGCCAAAGTCTGGAAACCCGCGTTCGATGAGGCGGGCATGACCGACCTCGCATTCGTGCCCAAGTCAATCCCCGTCAAGCAATCAGAGTGGCCAACTCTCGGAGAAATGATCGACAGCGGCAAACGTGTCGTTGTCTTCATGGATGCCAACGCTGAGGGCCCTGAGTCCGTCCCCTTCATCCTCCCCGAGTTCCAAATGGTGAAGTCGCTTTTTTTCCATCAACTTTTTTTTCCTAATCGTTTCTAGATCTGGGAAACTCCCTTCTCCGTCACGGACGCAAACTTCCCCTGCAAGATCGACCGCAGCGGTGGGCCTCTCGCCGACATTGACCACATGTACATGATCAACCACTCGCTCAACAAGAACCTCGTGCCCTCCATCTTCGGTGACCTCTTCGGCGAAGGCATTATCGTTTCCGACCCAGACAACGCTGACCGGACCAACGGAGTAGAATCGTATGTTTTCTGTTCTTTCTGGCTCATGGCGATGTACTTATTGCTTGATAGGATTATGGCTAACGTCAACGGATGTTCCCCACTTGCAGGCAACCGCTCGCCCAACTTCATTTTGCTTGATTTTGTTGAGAAGGGCGATGCGTTCAACGTTGCGAAGAAGCTCAATGGTCTGGCATGAGTGTGTTATATTGGAGTCGCTAATTGGGTTATTTTTGCTGTACTCAAGAGAAGATGTATTTTTTTTTGGGAAATCCTTGTCGCATCACTTGGCTGACATAAGCTGAAGATGACACTGCTCTCACTCCCCAACGAACTGCTGCTCGATGTTTTTTCGCACTTTGAGGACCCTCATCTGCTATTCACACTCTCGACTCTCTGCAAACGGCTTCATCTCCTAGCCCTTCCACTCTATCTCAGCCAAATCGGCGTCTACGAAAGCCTCAGCCCTGGAGTGTGTAACATTACAATTGGACAGCACCGAACGGAAGCTTTGGCTGCCTTGCAAACTGCGCTTTTTCTCGATGCGGTACAGACACTCTCATGCACTTTGCCCCATGCGATGCAACTTGGTCAAGATGTGAAGAGATTGGCACGAGTATGTGCGGCCCTGACCAGCGTCAACTCCGCGACATTGCATGTCAATCCTCGAAAGTTTTTGGACGATTCTTCCGGGGATCTGAACCCCCTCTCTTTTGTGGACTGCCTTAATTCGCTCCTGGAAAAATCGTGCAGCAGCTTGACCGTGAAGAGTTTCCGAGACCGGTGGACCGACCATAAGAGTAGACCTATGCGGCGGGCTCAACAACCTTCGAGGGTGCTGAGTGCTGCTGCCCTGTCTCCCGCGGCAATGCGAGCCAAATCTTTGTCGACATTCAATATTCATTCCGAAATTTTGGTCTTCCCGCACGTCCGTGCTTGGACGATTGATGTCCTCAACTCATTTCCAATTCGCGCCCTTTCTATCAGCGCGCCGTTCCAGATAGAAGAAATAACGGACATCCTTGCTGTAACAGAAATTCCTACTCTCCTCACCCTCGCACTTCATGAAAGCAGAATCACGCCTGCCCAACTGCATGCCTTCCTCGCCCGTCACCCGCAAATCACACACCTTCGTCTCGAGAAGCTCATAGTTCCCCCTCTCCACGAGCGGCTACCATCCCGTGCCCTTGAATCCATCGTAACACTCACCGCCGGACCGACACATGTTGCCTACTTGCTGCATGCACTCAACCGCTTGCCTAGCACTCTTCAGTGCATCAGAATCCTCAGCTACATGACGACAGTCGATCTCCAAGGCGCAAACTCGTCGCTCCATCATGTTGTGTCTTTCCTTGCGGGAATACCAGACCTGCGGCTCGTCCTCCCCGTCCCCGACAGCCTCCCCCCGCACTGCGCCCGACACCGGCCTTTGCTTCCCCGATGCAGAGTCGGCATTGCATTTCGTCTCCAGGCTGGAGCTTGGCTTTCACGAATGCATCACCCCGATCCCGCTGCTCAAGTTGCAGGACTACATCGGGAAGTGGTGTGAGCCATTCCCGCTGCTCAGCAAGGTTGATTTGGTCGGTTTGAGGGCGAATGACCGATACAGTGCGGTGGATATTGCAACGGCGGTGAGGAGTGCGGCCCCACAAGTTGAGACGTTTTTCAAGGACGGTCAGCCGAAATTGTCGTCTGGAGAGAGCTTTTAGTAGTGGAGAGCGGGTCGTAACTTGAAGTACTGCCAGGCAGGGTCAAGTAGTGCAAGTTGGATGTTACAGAGCAAGTCTAAATTTACATCATGATGTTGGTTTTCGGCGCCAACTTTTTTTGCGCCCACCGCACTCGCTTTCTCAATTCCAGTATGTGCTGATAGACGACTATGTAAGGAAGCAGACTCGGAGCGGCCAATTTGCAGGGTTAAATAATCAAAAACTCGTCGAGGACAACTTGAAAAGGTAACAAGGTTGCTAACGAGGACATGACTTAGTAACCACCGTACTCGTCCTGACAGTTCATGCGGTTGAGTTGAAGAGGGATCCAGCATAGAGAGGCTCAGCCATATGTTCTGATAGTGGAACATGTGTCGCTTAGCGCCGGTACCAAGCAGCATAAGTACTCCGGAAAGTGTTGAACTTCAACGTATTGAGAGGTTTTCGACAAGCTGGTCGGCTTACATAAGTCGCATATCTCACTTGATTCTTACCGTCTCAGAGACCAATTTCACGGTCTGACTACGAGATATCAGTTGCAGGAGTACGCTCCAGAGACTTATTACAGCGTTGGTTCACGTTCTGGGAGCACCAATCCCGACTTCCTTTTGACTCCCAACCTTTCTCTCGTTCTGTTAGTCCGGATCCACAACACTCAACTCATTCAAATCGGCGACAATTCAGCCATCACAAGCGACCTTTCCGTGCCGGAGTTGTACTTACTCGAGTTTTTTCCCTAAAATTTCTCCCCTCATTCTAGCCCGGCCGCTACACCCCTTCAGCCAGCACCACGTCGATGCCTCTGAATCCGTCCTATAATCACGTATCCCCCTCTCGGCGCTCTCTACCTTTTTGCTCATCAAATGCACAGAAATTAACCTTGGAGTACATGAGAGAGCACCAACCCTTCGATGAGCTCCCGACCGAATACTATCCTTGTTCGCAGCAGATGCAAGGCTACCCCCTGCCAAACTTCGTCTACGGCTTTGCATTCCGCCGCCAGACCAACGAGGCGCAGCCCACCCTCGACAAACTCGACGAAATGCAGTCCAAGATTCCTGATCCCGAACTCCGCGACAAGACGAAATGGCTTTCAATCGGTGCTATACTACAATATATAGCCAACTCTGTTGACGCGGATGTTTTCCGAGACAGTCCCCATTACAATGACTTGGGGATTTCACGCGTCGACTATGATCGTACGAACAGCATTTTTCAGATTTTCCGTGTGTATTCGTCGAAGAGGGCACGGACTCCCAAGAAGCCGCTGTGGGTGGATGATATCGCACGCATAGCAGCCGAGATTTACAAGGAGCTTGGGTGGGAAGATGTGCCGAAGCCACAGTGGTACCTGGACACAAGTACCATCGTGTGTGAGGACGACACCGACTTCAATATCGTTCCTCGATTCCTGTAGACTACATGAACTTAGAACGAAAGTGGTTCCTTGCATATCACTCACTCGTGTCCGTGACGACACGCGTCTGCCCTTCATACCACCACTGACTTGCTTCTCTTTCTTATTCCGTGCCAGCAGCAGCAACCACATCATCCCTCACGACGAAGCCGAGGCTAGATTCGGAAAGTTCAAGTTGTCAACTGATGAAAGCCAGCTCCGCAATTGCTTCCCTCGGCGCTCTCCCCATCCCAACACATACGCAGCCCGTGAAGGAGTGCCAAGCTATGCGCTGTAACTTCTACTTCTTTGCCTGTCTTCGACCTGGCTCACAAACCTCATAGAAATTGATGTTGTTATCCCTGCTGCATTAGAATCACTGTCCTTTCCACGAACTCCCCCACCGGCGGATACTATATATCAGTACTCTGGGCGAATGAAGGACGACATACATGTATTCTCTGGTTTGTCTACTACCCGTTGACGTGGATGATTCGCCGACTGTAATGACCTGGGGATCTTGGCGGCCGACTGGGTGGACGATATTAGTAGCTGCGGAGACTTTCAACGAGCTTGCCAGTGGTCGGGAGGAGGTCCTACAGCCACTGTGGATTAAACACAATCGGACTTGACTTCAATGCTCATTTCAATATACGTAGCCTCAACATACTCGTCGAAATAATTTGTACTCTAGAGCTCTTCTACATTATTGTTTATTGACAACAAACTCGATGGAAGTGACTGCTTACACTCTTTCCTTTCATGTTGCTGTGAGTTTTTTGGATGAATTGGATCATCACCCACTCCGGCAAGAAGCAATTCCAAGTCTCTACTCGGTGAAAAAAAAAGGAATTGTGAGCTTGAGTTTACATGGACTACAAGCAAAGAGAAGTAGCGTAGCAACAAGAAAAAAAAAGAAAAGAAACAGGAAGAAGTGAAAACACTCGAAAAATATTGTGCTCCGTAGAGCGCCACTCTGAACTAGCGTGTCATCCTTGTGCAGGGGCCATGCTAATCTGGAACAGGTTATTAGATAAGCTGGAGGCAGAATTACACAGGACAACTAACCTTCTCTGTATCGTTCCTATTGAAGGAAGCGACATAAGCAAGTGAGCTGCAAGGACGACGGGACGACATACCAATTTTATGTATGTCACTCCGAAGAGGACAAAAGTGTCCGTGGAAGCTCAGGGCAGCCGAGCTTGCTGATGTACCGTGCTGGCAGTAGCGGGTCCGCCTGAAGCGACGGGAGTCTTGACCTTGACGGCATCCGTTTGGAGCATTCTGCGCTGCGCACAGCGACCAGGCAACTCTGAGCAAAAGCCCGCAAAATTCAAATTCAAAAAGTACTGTCGAAGCAAGCTCTTTTGGGAGTTAATTTTTTTTCTTCTTTTGCCAAAATTCAATCACGCAAAACCCAACAAATACAAATACAACTATAGATGATACACCAATTGCTAGCTACAAGTATCGCTTGCGCCAAAAACGAGACGGGGTAAAGGGGGAGGGAATAGATAAGCCACGGCCACACTCAACAAACAAGAAAAAAAAAGGAGGGGAATACAAGAAAAGGAAGCGCGGATTAGGGCGAAACTTGAAGTCGAAGAAAAAAAAGAGAAAGATGTCTGCTTGCGGTGGGTACGTGTCTCGTCCATGAGAATACGGCTTGTCGTTGCGAATGAGGTTTTGTTTGCGTCCTTGGCTTTTTCGTTCATGTCGTGTCATAATGGGTGCTGCCCGCTGTGGACACCCACTAGGCCCGACACGCAATCGTCTTCTCTATACCCGAAGACCGCCCTCCACTTCCTCCTCTTTGTGTACATGTCACGAGACCCCCGCATTCAGACTTCCCCAATTATCCCTCAACAGCTGTGGGCTCCACGAATTCCGATGGTGTTGCGCATGTCGCCCACACCGAAGACCGGCTCTCTCTGCTGCTGCCCGAATCGCTGCAGTCCCATCATCTAGCGGCGGAACAACGGTACTGTCACTTTGACTATCGTCGTCCGACCCGCCTGGCGCAGGGCTGGCGCTAGTCGTGCTCGTTCCCTGACTAGTCGGCGAAAACACAAACGACGCTTCGGACTCCAAATCTTCTTCGGAAGGCGATGTAGAAGTAGTCGATGGGGCACGGGAGGAAGAAGACGGAGGGGGTATTGGCGATGCAGTTGAGGCTCGTGACCATGAAAATTGAGTATCAAGGGAGCCTCTAACCGGTGGTGTTCGTGCATGGGCGGGCGGAAGTGTAAGCGGAAACACGGTATTGTAGTCGTCTGGTTGTCGAGAATACATTGGGACACGGGTAGTCAATTCGAGTGGAGTCGTGCGAGCGGATGGGGATTTGGGCATTTGGACTTGCGATGTCGATACCACTTTTGCCTCCGAAATCGTCTCCCGCGCTTCGGAAGCTTTTAAGATTGCTGTACGTGCTTTCCAAAGCGCGAGATTGAGGTCGCATTGAGCAACATACGGGTGCATTTCTACCCAATAGTTACAACCATTGACAGGTCAAATGAATAATGACACAAACCTGCCAATGCTTGGACGACCAGATCGAGGAGGGGCTTGACGAAGGTGGGGATAAAGAACATCTGTGACGAGGCCGCTTGCATCGGATGAGACGAAGATTCCACGGTGCGAGGCAAGGCATGGTGGGCCTCGAGCGCTGCCTGAGCATTCCACTCGCGCTGTAACGCAACCGCCCAATGCTGCGATATGTAATAGGGCCGTGACTGCATCACAATTCAGTCTGGAGATCATCGGTAAACATGAAGACTACTGACGGGATTGCTGATATCAGCACACTTAATGAGCGCCTGACACAGAGTTGTGCGCCGGTTGTCGAGACTGAGATCTCCTTGGCCAGCGACAATATTGGAAAATCGCTCCATGAATGCGGCATGAACCCGCATGTCTGTGGCAAGCACAGTGTCGAAGAGAAGCTTCCTCGCCCGCCGACCGCGGTTTCGGTCGCTGGTATTGTCGTCCGATCCGTCCAGAATTCCAGCCATACCATGGGCACGCATCACACGTATTAGCAAAGCAACATGCATCTGCTCCAGGGCACTTTTCCCATCGTAAACAGCGCTCAAGGGAGCCGCCGCGTTTTGCATGAAGAGATTCGTAAAACCAGGATGGCCGGCGTCGTGGCCAATCGCAGCGACCATCAAAACAAATAGGTCGGTGGGATCAAGCACGGTAACAAGCGGACCTGAGTCGAACGGACGCCGTGACTGCCACGCTTTGGGTTTCGTGGGCGTCGCGTGGCTATCTTTGGCGAGGATACTAACAGGAGGGACGACGCCGGCAGCGCATAGGTAATGGTAGGTCGCCTGCAACACATCGACTGCGTGCTCGAAGTTGTGGTACGAGTTCTGCCACCGGTAGATGTGTCGGAGATGCTGGATAAACGGGGAAATTTGGTCTGTAAAAAGATTGGTGGCATGGAGGTAAACGACGAGAATGCTGACCGAGTGAAACGCCAACAGCTTCTTGCAGGCCCTTGATACGGAAAAGCGCCTCGAAGATGAGAACAGCACACTCAGCAACGTGGTCTTCACTGGGAAGAGACTGTGGCTCAAAATTCCACCCATCGAGCTTGGCGATAAGGCCCGCACGACTTTCTGCTGCCAGACGTGGTTGGGAGCTAGGAAGAGGGAAGTAAGGCGATATTACGGCGGCTGAAGGAAGTAACTGACCAGTCTTCTGTGTGATTATTAACTGCGTTGAGAGTTTGGGTGTACATGTCGCTGAGCAACTCAGCGTATCGGGTTCTGGGGAAAAGAGCAATGAGAGGGAGAAATAGTGTAAGGACGACGAGAACGCACTGGAGTTGCTCCGAATGGCCGAGCCAGCCCTGACCATGGAGACCTCCGTTTCTGGTGGCAAGACTCAGGCCACCAATGTCTGCACTGCGACGACGGCCATTGCGGGGAGTTGGTGGGGGGGAGAGGAGATGGTCGTGGCCACACATGGTGTGAGGTTGGGCCCGCCAGAAGTGTGGGCGGAGAGAAAGAACGGCCAGACGATTACAGCGGAGAGGATAACGGATGGGAGGAAAATTCAAGGGAGAGAGATCAGCCACCTCGTGGTTGACGGATTGGGTACAAGGGCTGTCACTGTGACAATGTCATGTCAAAGCGCTTTGAGAGTTTACATCCCGCCAAACAAAACACTCTTTTAGATGGACTACAGCCTCGAAACTACACACTTCGGCGCAAAGGCGCCTGAACCAGAGGAGAGCGGCAATCTAAGTTGTCTGAAGTGGCTCCCACTTTGACATTCTGACTCTCGCGTTCGACTTGTTTCTGTCTCTCAGTGGCAGCCAGCACGATCCAAGTCCATCGAAGACTGGGAAAATATGCAAAGACCAGCGCACAGACTAAAGGCCACTACTGCACTACTGTGTCTCCTTCCAAAGCAAGGGCTTGCAATAATTCTTGTCAACAAAGTGATGATCCTCGTTGCTTGCATATGTTGCGACCCCGAGGTTCCCTTCCGTTATGATGGACGCCAATGCCTTCCCGACCCGACCCCGCTATTCCCGGGACAGCGTGGATATGAGCAGGGCTCGAGACCGCCAATGTAGGCCAGTGTCCAACGCCGACTCGGATTGAGGGAGGCACTCACAAGGCTGCGCACTCACGCTGTTTACTATGCACCAAATTCGCCCCCCCCCTTTTTTCTCCTCTTTGCGCACAGTATCGGTATCCTCCAGTACCAACCTCAAGTGAAACGAGCGCTCATTGCCATTGTCGGAAAACTCAGAAAATCCTTATAAGGACCTTCCAGGACCTGATGGGATCATCAGGTCGAACAAGCCCGAATAAGGTCTACTATCTAAGCTGATAAGTTCAGATAAGGGGGCATCGGGTCTTATCAGTGCTCAGTTGCGACCTTATCAGCACATATAGTGGTATGGAGGCAGGGATGGAAGACCCGAATTGTAAGGGCAACCCCGGAGGCCTGAGATCAAGGTCCTAGCAGGGGAGGATCCAAAGCGTGAACATTGGTAAGCGAATACAAATGAAGCTGACCTAGCAGGGGAGGATCCAAAGAGAAGAAACTCTAAGGGTCCGCCTGCTAGGTAGCTGACTATATACTGCTTGTCCGTAGCTGCCGCTGTCGGGCACAGAAGGCCTGGGCGGCGTCGCAGGCGAGGTCCCAGGGCGACCGTCGGGAGGGCGTTGACGGATCGGTGATTGTGCGGGCGAGATGGAGGGCCGGACCGGAGACGGAACCGGAGTCGGACCGGAATCGGAGGCGTCTCCGAGGGGCCGAAAGGGAGGTTCCCCTGACATCACCCCCTTTGAATGCGGCGTCCCGACGCATAGACCGGAACGGAATCGAGTCGAAGGTCGCGGAGGCGATGTGTCGTGGCTTGCCAGGGTACTTACGATAGAACTCCGCAATTTTCTCCGGGCGAAGACGCGGTCGAAGCGGACCCATTGGTCGTGCGATGCGTCGTAGCCTTTCCATCTGACGAAGTAGTTCAGCCGCTTATACCTCACCCTTGCGTCCAGGATTTCCTCTACTTCCCACTCCGGGACTCCGTCCTCGAGGTCCGGAGGGGGCTGGTCGTAGCCGGGGCGTCCGTCGAAGGGGTCGTCCTGAGCGAGCTCGAGCTTGACGACGGGGAAGACCGGGTGGAGCTTCGAGTAGCGGGGCGGGAGGTCGAGCTTGTAGGCACCTTTGCTGATCTCCGCGACTATCTTGAACGGCCCAAGGCGGCGATGGGAGAACTTTTCCGAGGGGCGAGTCGTCCTGATGTCAGAGGCATCCAGCCAAACACGGTCGCCAACCTTAAACTCCGGAGACGGAGTCCGTCTCCGGTCGTAGTAGCGCTTGTACTCCTCTTTGGCCTTAGTGAGCGGGCCTTGGCTTCAGCAACACCAGTGGCGATCCGGTCGCGGAACTCGTTCACTGACTCCATGGCGGAACGGACTCCGGGTTCGAAGCCCATGCGCGGGAGCCGTCCCGTGTCCGTCATGAAGGGGACCTGCTGCGTGGAGGAGTGAACGTGGTTGTTGTGAGGCGAACTCCGCGGCCGGAATCAGCTCATCCCAGTCGTCCTGCTGGTAGTTGGTGAAGATCCGCAAGTACTGCTCCAGCTCCTGGTTGACGCGCTCTGTCTGACCGTCTGTCTGCGGGTGGTACGCGGTGGACGTGGGCGGGCTTGATGCCGATTAGATGCCAAAGTTCTCGGGTGAAGTCCGCGATGAACTGCGAGCCGGGTCGGAGACGTACTTCTCCGGAGTCCCATGGTGCCGCCAGACATTCCGGTAGTAGAGGCGGGCTGCCCCTACTGCATCGACCGTCGTATGACACTCTGAGAAGTGGGCGCGCTTTCCGAGGGTGTCAACGACGACCATGATCGCGTCGTACCCATGGGCTTCGGGAAGCTCTACGATGAAGTCGACGGAGACGGTATGCCAACGCTCCGGAGGCGTTTCCGTGGGGTGCAGTTCTCCGTGGGGGCAGTCTCCGGAGTGCCTTGGTGCGACAGCACAAGTCACAGGTCGCAACATATCGGCCGATATGGCGAGACATCTGAGGCCACCAGTAGTTCCGGGAGACCAACTCCAGGGTCTTGAAACGACCTGCGTGTCCGGCGACTCGGGTGTCATGGCAGAGCTCGATGATGCGCTCCCGGAGGTCCTTGTCTTTTGGTACGACGATCTTTCCTCGGAAATGGAGAAGACCGCCGGAGACGGCCCACTCGTCAGAACGTGAGGAGCCGGGGCCTCGAGCTTGGCCTTGAACCTTAAGAAGTTGCCGGGCCGCTAGTGCGACGGGCTCCTCCAGGTCAGGCTCACCGGAGAGGGCATCACGGATGTCACGGAGGAGTTCAGAGCCGGGACCGGAAACGGAAACGCCCTCGAGTGCGCGGACGTGGAAGAGTTCAGGCCGCAGAAGGACGACGTCGGAGTTGTCGGAATCGACTCCGTGGTCGGGTCTCCGGGAGAGGGCGTCAGGCCGACCCATATCGCGGCCGGGTTTGTGGTGCAGCGTGAAGTCGAACCGGGAGAGGTACAGAGACCACCGGGCCTGTCTCCGGTTGAGGTGTTGCGTCTTCCTGAAGTACTCCAAATTCTTATGGTCAGTCCAAATCTCGACAGGGTGCGCGGCGCCCTCGAGGAAGTGTCTATATTCCTCGAGTGCGGGATGATCGCGAGCATCTCCTTGTCGTGGATTTCGTAGTTGCGCTGGACATCATTTAAGCTTTTGGAATAGAATGCTACAGGGTGCCACTTCCCGTCCGGGGCGGATTGTGAAAGAACCGCCCCGTCGCATAATCAGAGCTGTCCGCCTCGAGTCGGAAAGGCCGTGTGTCGTCCGGAATCGCCAGGACCGGTTCCGAGGTGACCGCGTCCTTGATCGCTTGGAACGCGGAGGCCTCCGCGTCGCCCCAAGTCCATTGCTGGTCCTTCTTGGTGAGCACGAAAAGAGGGCGCAAAGGGTCGAGAAGTCCCGAATGAACCTGCGGTAGAAGTTAGCGAACCCGAGGAACTGCTGAATGTCCTTCTTGTTTTCCGGAGTCGGCCAAGCGGAGACGCCTGCGACCTTGACGGGGTCCATTTCGACGTGGTTGTGGGAGATGATGACTCCGAGGTACTCGATTGACGATTTTTCAAGTCGCACTTCTCCGCTCGGGAGGTACAACTTGTGCTCTCGGAGTCGCCGCAAGACCTCCTGAACGATCTGCCGGTGTTTCCGGAGGTCGGAATGGGCGATCAAGATGTCGTCAAGGTAGATCATGACGTCTCCGGAGAGGATGAGGTCCTGAAAAATGTCATTCATCATCGTTTGGAACGTCTGGGAGAGTTTGTCAGGCCGAAATACATCACCAAGGGCTCGAACAGGCCTCGGTTAGTCCGGAAAGCCGCTTTCCACTCGTCACCTTCCTTGATCCGGACGTTGTTGAAGCCCCAACGGACGCCGAAGTTTGGTGAAGTAACGAGCGCCTTTGAGCCGGTTGATGAGGTCGTTGATCAGCGGAAGGGGGTACCGGTTTTTGACAGTCATCGCATTGAGAGCACGGTAGTCCTGGACGAGCGGAGTCCGCCGTCCTTCTTCTTGACGAAGAAGACCGGAGACGCCATCGGAGACTTGGAGGGGCGAATCCGGCCCGTCGAAAGCCCTTCCTCGATGAACGCGTCGAGCTCGCGTTGCTCGAGGGGCGAGATGGGGTACACTTTGCAGTTGGTGGGCTTAGCGTCGGGGACGAGTTCAATGGCGTGGTCCCAGGCTCTCCGCTCCGGTAGCGTGTCGAAGGACTCCTTGTTGAAGACGTCCTGGAACTCCTTAGCCCAGTCCGGGATCTCGGAGGGCGGAGGGGCGGAGTTCCTGGCGAAGGCTTCGGCCAGGCGTTGCGAGACAGTACTGCCAGCGCGTATCTCCTCCGAGGGGCGGAACGAGGTGTAGAAGATGCGGTCACCATCTTCAAGCTGACCATCGTCATCGTCGTCGTCGGAGTCCGGCGTCAGATCAGGCAGGCCGGAGTCGTCACCGGAGACGGAGTCGTCTCCGTCATCAGACCCAGAAAGGTCCATGGCGCAGACCGAGGGGAACGGGCCGGAGCGGAGACGCTTCTGAAGCGACCGGAGTCGCCGCAACTCGGTCCGTTCGACCCGCTCTTCCTCACGGCAGGTCGAGCAATTGCGGGGGCACCGTGTCATCTTGACCTCCTTGGTTTCCCAATTGATCTCTGGGTTATGTTTCCGCAACCAGGAATACCCCAGGATGAGGTCTTGCTTGCCAAGATGGGTGACGGCCAGCTGAACTCGTTCGGCATGGCCCTTGTAGCGCAGGACCAAGTCCGCGATCTGTTTGATGGAGCCAGCGTCATTGGGGGTGCCATCGACATTGAAAACCGGAATCGGCTGATCGAGGGTGCGGACCGGAATGCCATTCCGAGCAACATAGTTCGTGTCAATGAAGTCGGAGGTGGCACCACAGTCGACAAGCCCAGAGAGTGAGAGCTTCAGCGCTGGTGGTGGACTCGAGCTCTAACGGGAGGTGGAGGGAGTTCGCCCCAGGGGCAGCGGCAACGGTGTACTGCTTGGGCAGTTTCTTTTCCCAGGCAGTGAGGCGGCGGAGGACGATGACCGGAGTCGGGGC